TGACAATGTGATGACGGGATTGCCAAACTAGCAAAGCATAGGTCAAGCTATTAATCTTGAAAAGAACTGAAGAGCATATTTTGTATCATGTTTTTTTCTTTTTCCATATCACGTGAATCCACACTACATTGACAATGTGATGACGGGATTGCCAAACTAGCAAAGCATAGGTCAAGCTATTAATCTTGAAAAGAACTGAAGAGCATATTTCGTATCATGTTTCGTAAAGGTTAGTTATATAGTTAAAGAATAAGAGCGTTGTTCAGTCGTGTTACGTACAAACAACCAAGATGAGTGCTGCTGTTCGTGGAACCATGTTTGGTCTGTTGCTGATCTTCTTTATTTTGACTGCCAGCAACAGCATCTTGAATGCAGCCCCAGTTAAAGGTAAGTATGTCTAGATGAGTGAAAAACAACTGAAGACGTGTAGTTCACTTTATTTCCGGGTTTTTTTGTTGCAGATAATGTTTGTTCCAAGCCGATGGACATCGCCTTCATTATGGATGTCTCGGGAAGCATCGGTAGAAAAGGATTGAAAACGATGAAAGGCTACGCGAAAATGGTAGTAGACCATTTTGGCATGTCCGATCAAGGGAATCACTACGCTATAATGACATTCGCTAAAGACCCAAGAATCCTAGTAGACTTTAACACGTTTACTGGAAGTACAGCGAAAAGCGCCAACCTGAAATTTAAGATCCATCAAATGCATCGTATTGACTGGAATGGAGGTTCATTCATTGATAAAGCTTTGCTTGCAGCAAATAGCACACTCTTCACCGTTGGAGCTGGCATGAGACAAAACGCATTGAAGGTTAGTTGTAGTGTTAGGGGTGTTTGTTGGCGCTGATGAAAATTTAATTTAAAATTATTAAATGGAATCAAGTGTATTCTACCAATAAGCTGATAAGCAGCTGTAACCGTTTCTATCCTTGGCTTGGGCCAAGCTCTGCCACGCCGAACTTTTATTTACAATGGCTCTTTTTTTTCTCTCTTTGTGTAGACTTGTAAACACCACAGTAAAAACCCGCGTATAAGAACCTAGGGTTTTTCAAGTTAGCCTAAACAGGTTCTTATATAAATGGTATTTAGTGTTAAATTAGGCTAACTAGGTTCTTAATTAGGTTCTTAACTTTTGTTCAAGAAATAAAGTAGTATTTTTTAATACTGTAGTCTGATCTTTAATGTCCAATTACAGTATTCTTGAAAGCTTGGGTAATCAAAGGTTCATCTCAGTTTCATTTTAACTTGGATTTTCTTTTTTCAATAAGGACATGTTCTTTACAGTAACCATGTACAGTTATAGTGTTTATAGCATTATTGTGTACAGACTGTGTTATAAATATATTTTTGAAAAGATTGATTCTATTTTTTCTTCTTTTTTATAAATAAGAACCTGTTTTAGGATTTTAGCCTAAAATGGTTCTTATGTGAAGGGTGCTTAAAAAATGAAATTTTAGCCTAACAGGTTCTTAAATTTTAGGTTCTTATACGCGGATTTTTACTGTATTGCAATCGTACCGCGAGTCATTTGTTTCTATTTCTGTTTTACCTTCTGCGCAATCTCCGCAATCCCAAAGCCTGCGTTTCTTCAGCGAAGGACGATGGCTCTAGCTGGCATCAGAGCATGGCACAATCCATTTTTTTGAGACCAGGATTTTTTTGGACTTTCGGTATCAGAGAGCGCATGCGTTAAAAGACTTGCCAAAAATAAGAAAAACATGTTCCCGATTTCTAATTCTTACTAGATTTTTTAATTCGATTTTTACTTTGATTACTTTGATTTACTTTTGTTATATTTCACTTCCCGAAAATTGCGCATGCGCCAAAAAGGGATTGTACCAGAGCCCTCGTTCCTCGCCGCAGGCTAGAAGAAACGCAGGCTCTGGCTACGAGATTGAATGACAAATAGCTATATGTAGTCAGACTACGTTTTTTTGTAAATATTCATTTGTTTTGTTTTAGGCTGCTATTATTATGACAGATGGCATTCAAACAAAACATCGGGGACCCTTCACTTCTCCATATAAAGCCGCACGTGGATTGCAAACAAAGGGTGTTCAGTTAATTGCAGCGGGGATTGGCACAGCTGTCGATGTAATCGAGCTCATGGACATTACAGGGAAAATGGAAAATGTTTTCAGTGTTGGTCGTTTACCGGAACCAGCGAATTTAGAGTTGATTGCAAGAACACTGTGCTCAAGTAAGGATTGCTAACAATTGTAATTTCTAAGGTTTTATAAATAATTTACATGAAATAGTCTAAGATAAAGAGAAAATAAAATCCACTTTGTTTCTCGTCTTACCAATCCATCTTCTTTATCCTTCCCTGTCACGCGTTACCTTCTCCTACCACTACTCTCGCAAACTTTGTTTCTTATCCCCATAATTGTGACCTGTGTATTCATTCTCTCTCATAATTTGGCAATCAGTGTATTTGGGAACCCCTTGTTTCGCGCGACCGGGATTCCTGTGTTAATAATCCCATCATGCCCCGGGGAGGAAGACAAGATGGCCCTGCCCTGAATCAAGACGCAGTGAAGACGTAGGGGACTACGATGTTTTACAATCATATTATCTACCGCCAATAAGTACGTTGTTATCATGAAAGATAACAAGGATTAAAGGAAGATTTGTATAAAAACAGCCCCGATCTTAATAATCTCGATCCAAGCGGACACAGGAATTCAGCTTCATTCGAAATCATGAAACTGAATGCATACCCTAATCGGTCCCATAATTCCTTGCCATTCATTTCGTTACCAGTTAAACTTTAAATATTGTAATTATATTTGTCGTTGTTGTTGTTTTACAGAACCGACTGCAGTCCCCACCACTTCAACCCCTTTGAAGTGAAACATCTCTGTCATTCACTGGAATCGTCCCGCAAGACGTCTTTCAAAAACATGATGATTGTAAAGTTTAGAGTTCTAGAATCCCAATGTTAATTAAAGATTGGCCGCATTATGAAAAGAAAGTTTGTCACTTATCTTTATGCCCCTCCACTTCTCTTGACTCTCTTGTCTCCCGAAGCGGGTTTTTATTCAAGCGAAGCGGGAATTTGTCGAGCGGGGACGCAGAGGGTGACAGTCTAGTGATACTTGTGTTTTAACTTGGTAGTCGCATTAGTAGTTATTTCTAAATATACGTTATCTTGAAGGTATATGTTTCTCACTCATACTAAAACCGTTCTAATATTTTACGAGGAGGACCCAGAGAAGGCCTGAGTCTGCATCTCACTTGCCACTTTTCTTTTTTTTATTTTTTCTTTCTTTTTTCTCTTCTTTTTTTTTCTTTCTTTTTTGCCATCATTGGCCAAGTGCCATCATTGGCCAAGTGACACCATTGGCCAAGTGACATCATTGGCCTAGTACCATCATTGGCCAAGTGCCATCATTGGCCAAGTGCCATCATTGGCACCAAAGTCCCAGGGGAACCCTTGTACCAGTGACCCAGCGGCACCCTTGAAGCAATGTCTCATAGTTTTTCTCTGTCTACTCCGGGTTTTATCATGCAACCTGTAAAACCTAACATTCACGCTAAATTGCAATTCGAACTGTTAGGTCGCTCTGCCCTGACGCAATGCTGATCAGTCCCGAGGTCGTTACAGGGTATCGATAAAATTCATTTGATGGTTATATAAAACCTCTAATTTGACTTCCTTACCAACTGAGTCTGCGTGTGAGTACAGGTTGTGGCAAATGTTCCAAAACGCATCCCACATGGAAACAAGGGACCATGCAAGCTACCCCGTCAGCAACACGGGCGACATACTGGGTCTGCTGGTCATAGCAAGGGGTTAATCATCTACGGTCTAGGGGCCGATTAACCTCTCCCTTAGGCTTCGGTCGAGCTTCCTGATCAGTCTGTAAATCCAGGGATAGCGGTGTCGGGGTCGAAATCTCCGGCGTAGCCGTAAATGCTTCGCGCTGCCATACGACGGTTCAGCACTCGATGTCTGGAAGTATGGTCCTCAATTATTCAATCAATAAAAAAGTTTTAAAATGTTCCTAAAAATATAGAGATTTAGAAAGGCCAAGAGGAATCCTTAGTGTGCATTAGTTGCGTTTTTACTAACCACGCTTCTGATTTTGAGTCCGAAAATAATCAGTCCTACCTTAGCTAAAAATTTCATTTAATATTTTCCTAACCATTCAACGGACGCTTATTCTTTTCTTCAGAAACTGGAAAACGAGTTAGTCGAGTATCAACCTACCTATGATGACATCAGCAGGAGATCCGAGTTGCTGGCCGAAGACCAGTTCCTGAGCGATGAGGACAAGCAAGCTCTGAATGAAGATATGGAGGACGTCAAAACACGATGGGACAACGTGGCCAACGTTAAAGAACAGAAAATGAAAAGGTGAATGAAGATGAATGATTTATAAGAAAATGGCATGGCAGCCATGTTGGATGATAGAAGTAGTCTGAAAGCATGGGGAGCTTCACCAAGATGGCAGTAAAACCAATTGTAAACCAGTACTATGATATTATATGTTAACTGTTGTATTTCGCTTTACCACAGGGTGGAAAACAGAATTAGTCAAAAGGAAAAGAGAAAACTAAACGATTTGATTGACTGTCGAGCTGATATCAAGAACCTGAATGACTGGATTACTAACAAGAATAACCAGTTTGACAGGTTAAGCCCAGTAGCCGATGACTTACCAACCCTCTTGAAACAACGAGACGAACTCAAGGTAAAGTTGTCGTATTCCAATCGCATTTATCAAATTCAGAGGAGGACTGGTAGAGCCCTCCTTCTTCCCTGAAGTAGTTCGGTCGATAGAGCAAAACCATCGACATTTGCAATCTCTTGTTCCAGCCAACTTCTCTTCCGCGTAGGAAAGGCACATTGCACATCAAAAACTGAATTACACTGAGAAACCTATCTTAATATTTGGTTTCATTGTTTTGTTCTTCAGGATTTCTCAAAAGATATCGCAGATCACGACCCTAAATTCACCGAATGCATCCAATCAGCTCACAAGCTATCCAAAGACCCCGCCCTGTCGAAGGACGAAAGTGACGTCATCCAAAAAGATGCTGAAAAATGCGAAGAAAGATGGGATGGGCTCAACGAGAAAGTACGACAACGTGTAGAAAGGTAATGATAATATGTTCGTACAACCATCTCATATTGGTAGAGGTTTTTTGGTGTCTACTTTGATTCGAGGGTTTTTTAAAATACAGGGTAACAGGTTTGTTAGCCACCGACCAAAGTAATCAGTCGGAACTAAATTTCAGCGTGCAGCTCTCAGCTAACGAGTTCGCATGTTTATGAAAATAGCAGTTAGTGCTACCCTCGTAAAACAAGGACGATTTGGGTACCACTGTATGATAAAATATTAATGTAATATAATTTCTTTCAGTATTGTCGAACAATTGCCTCCACTGCAAAGGAAGCAAAAGGAACTTCTTGGCGACTGGGACGACAAGCTCGACAGGTTTAAAAAATCCATAAAGAAATCCTACAATAACCTCGATGAACAGCGAGCGAAGTGGCCCTTGGTAAGCTCGAGTTTCATAAGTACCCCGATTAAAGATTGATTAGTTTGCGATGACTTATCGATTTGTTTATGTTTGTAGAAGGAGGATAAGCTTGTTTCGTCGGTTGACTTGACAGACGAATTGATTGAAAGAGTTGATCAAAACGAAACTGTTGAATGGAGACCAACTGTAGATACGTCCAATGAACAACTTGCTAAGTACGAATACAATAGGCCTTTTCGGCCTTTCTTTTTTTTCTCCTTTCCTTCCTTCCATCCCTCCAGTCATCTATCCATTCATCCATTCACCCATTCACCCACTAACCCATCCACCCATTCACCCACTAACCCATCCACCCATTCACCACTAACCCATCCACCATTCATCCACGACTCATCCTTTTTCCCCCATTTTACATTTTCACCAATGTAAAACGCGTTTTCCCTCCGCAGAATACGCGTTAAGTTACAGAGGATCCAGCGAGACAAGAAGAACCGCAAATGGTCTTTCATCGAAGCGATCAAAGGAGTATTTGGCTTTGGGCGCAAACCAAAGAAAACAGGCATAAATCTTGACAGCCTGATTATCCAATTTGAAGAACACGAGGTAACGCTTCACGCTTCACATTGTTACGCAAAGCTATTGACTTCCTATAGTCACGCCATCTCATAATCCTATTGTTTGTTTAGGATCTAATGCAAGAGGTGTCGTCACTTCAACGACCAGCCAATGAGATCGTTGATTCTTGTAACACAATCACCGCCAGTCGTGACGTAGAAGAGCAGAACATCATGAAGGTGGATGGAGAGATGCGCGCTGTGAATGCGCAGTGGAATACACTGAACTTTAAAGTTATTGAAAGGGAAAATAGGTAAGACATTATTACTACTACTAATGATGATGATAATAAAGATAATAATGATGACGATGATGATGACGATGGTGATGATGATGATGGTGATGGTGATGATGATGATGATGATGATGATGATGATGATGATGACGGTGATGATGACGATGATGATGATGTTATGCTAATAATAATAACGATAATGATAATTTATTTCATCCAATGTTGCAGTATAAACTGAATTTCAAATTAGCTTAGCAATATAAATTTGGAGAAACATGGATATTATTAGTAATAAATTAATAATTAATAATATGATAATATTAGCATACATATATAATACATACATTAAATATTTGAAACAACGGTTGCACTTTATGTGATAATTATTCATAGTTATGACACATAAAAACTCTAATACCATATTAACTGTCAGCATTTTTCCATGAAGTTCCTGCCTTCTCAAATTAAATGTGACTGACAGAAACCTTCACTTAAATCAATATTGATTTTTGCGAGAGACATTAAGATCTCTTGGCGATCCGTGTTTGCTTACCGGCGCATTCTCGTGTAACTGGCTTCAAATCCTACACAAATCGGTCTTTCCTTCTTGTTCGTGCTAACAAACCANGCTCCCTGTGGTACAAGGTATAGACTCGCAGCACAATAATCTATAGTCTTGGTCCACATTTCAATCAAGCTTTTTGCGATCTACCTTCCCAAACTATTTTAAGCGTTTGTGCGAAATGCTATTGAATTTTAAAGTATCATCAAGGCGTTTACAAGAAAAGCCTAAAATGAGGCTTAAACTTCACTAAGTCTTCACTTTGTTTCTCTTCATCTTCTTCGATCTTGATCGTCATGCACCCCAGAGAAACAAGGTCCTTGGATGACATATCGTGGATGGCCGCTGACAAGCAAAGATCGATGCCATTCACGGTTTGTACTACTTTCTTGAGTTGAAGACAGATGGCAGCTTCGGTGTTGTGGAGCTCTACTTTACTACAAGCGGATTTAAAACGACGAGAAACTAGAGTAAAGTTAACGGAAAGAAAATTCAAATTAGATTCCATTCCTGGACTACAACCACATGGTTCAAAATCCCTTGAGGTAAAGATACAATGAAACAGTCACCACGTTGGTTGATCTAACGAGAGAAGCTAATGAGGATTTGCCACCTTCAACCATCATGGAGGCTATGACGTAACATGCACCTTCAACCATCATGGAGACTATGACGTAACATGCACCTTCAACCATTATGGAGGCTATGACGTAACATGCACCTTCAACCATCATGGAGGCTATGACGTAACATGCACCATCAACCATCATGGAGGCTATGACGTAACATGCACCATCAACCATCATGGAGGCTATGACGTAACATGCACCTCATGTATGAATGACTAAGTTGATTTTCTATACAAAGAGATTAGGACCAAAAGGTTGAAATGATGTAAACTCTTCTTCTATATCTCTCTATATCTCTAGCTCTTCCCAATTCAAACCATGACTAGTCAACAAATGCCCACCTTTTTAGTGGAGATAGGTAGCGTTTGCAGCCGTTTTAGTATTTCGTACTGAAATTTCCTCCTCGCTAACATCGTTAGTAGGGGAGGAAAAAGGGGATGAGGGAGAGGGAAACTGGAGGTATGACCAAGACCAAAAGAAAATATGGGGGAGGGGGTGATTGGCTTAATTTGTATACGCACCTGGAGTGTATACTCTGAAATGTTTGACCTCATCCACCGCGAGAGAAACCCATAGTCCCTGGTCAGTAAAACCAAACATGTCCATCAAAATGACATCCTTATACCTAACCATAGACCTTTTATCTTGGACGCAAGGTTTTCCCTTTACAGACTAAATGTCATTCTCTTGAGAACGAGATGTCAAAAAATATAAAACAGTCTTCCGTTTTAGATACTCTATTTCAAGGCTGAATTACGATGCTGAGAGGACTCGAGATAAGCGTAGGATACCACGACGCGGCTCYTTTTTGAGATAACAAATTAACGAAAAACACTGTTTTATTTTTCCTGTAAAAATCGAAATTCAGAGCCAAAGCGCATGCGCAAGTGAGCGTTTTAGTTACCATTATGTAAAATGGTATTACGACCAACCAGAGCGCGCGAAGGAGCTCAGTCATTTTGAAATTTTTGTTTGAACCATCTTCATATTTGTCCTCTCATGCTCAACCATTAAACAAAGAAATGATACTCTAGAGAATGACAAATGGTTTGAAATAGGGAAAAAACTTAACGCCCAAGTTAAAGCGGCTAAAGAGTGATTTCCTTTGAATGCCATTTCTACGTTTACTGGTTGCTCTTGTGAAGATATATATATCGTTATGGAAAAAATTCGAGCAAATAAAGAGGTCTGAAAAGAGGTCCGAAAGAGGTCTGAGACAAGGAAAGATTACACCCAAAGTCAAAGCTATTTCATTTTAGAAATGAAATGAAAAATACGATAGGGAAAAAAGAGTTTATGGACACCTATAATAAACATTGTCATCGTCAAAGGTGATAGGCGATAGGCCATTCCGACATGGAAATGGTTTAGTTGAATACAAAGAACATTGAATGGTCTCAACATTAAGGTCCATTTCAGTTCTTGAAGAGAATAAGAAGCAGAAACACAAGTTATTCCAGCTATTCTTGGATCTTGGAATGACCTATCTCCTGTATCGCTTTTCGCCTATCGACTTTATTGGCAACGTTTATTGAAATAGGTGTATCCATTTGATTGTCCAATTACCTTTCCTTTCTGGCTGGCATCGACTTTACCACATACTGACAAGAAATAAAAAGTTTAAAGTGAGTACAAACTTTTTTAGCCTTGTTCTTTTATGGCAAATAAGCAGCCGTCGCGTGTTGTAGCCATAGTATAGTGACTGCGCTATATTGTTAACTACACGCTGTGATTAGATGATCGCTGGTTACGGTATAGCGTACCGCGTCGTGTTGTAAGTCACTGAGAACAAAACGTTTCACACACATAACGAAAAACACTGTTTTATTTTTCCTGTAAATATCGAAATTCAGAGCCGAAGCGCATGCGCAAGTGAGCGTTTTAGTTACCATTATTATGTAAAATGGTATTACGACCGAAAACCGAAACGCAATTCACCTTTTTTCATACATCGGTTCAATGGTCAAACACAAAGCATTCAGTTGAGATTGAAAGGTTGAAATTTGAATGATCCTTTGAATTATGGTATTACGACCGAAAACCGAAACGCAATTCACCTTTTTTCATACATCGGTTCAATGGTCAAACACAAAGCATTCAGTTGAGATTGAAAGGTTGAAATTTGAATAATCCTTTGAATTATAGTACCTTGGCGCCTCGCTTGAGCGCTTTGTGTTTGACCAGTGAACCGATGTATGGAAAATGGTGAATACTGAAGTTTCAACTTCTCTGTTGCTCAGGGTTAGACTCGATTTTGTGTAGAATATTCATGTGTTCCAGTGAAAGTACGTCGAATTTCAAAGTTTGTGTTCGTTTGAAGATGTACATTCTATACTTTATTGTTGCATGGGCAGTATTTGTGAATATTTTGATAGTACAATAAGGCTAACCCTGAGTCGAGTAAATGAGTGTTTAGTCAAGGAACACAGTGGAAATCGAAGTAGGTATATTTATAACGTATACTTACCTTTTGTTTGGTAGCGAGGAGATAGCACGACCTTTCTACAGCAGATACACTGTCTGGGCTGAGGGCAGGTACAGGTGTTTGAAGTCTTCCCATCCGCGTCGGCTTGTTTCTCCACGTCACGTGGTGCAAAGAAACCAAGAAAGTTTTTCTGATGGGTATGAAAAAATAAACTTCAACCAAGTATCAATCTTAGACAACCCTGCACGAATTAAAAAAAAACCTCTGGGCTGATCTAAGTCAGGGCACGGCTTACTCACAGATCCGATACCCTGAAACAACCTCTGGTCTGATCTAAGTCAGGGCAAGGCTAACTCACATTTCAAACCCTGAAACAACCTCTGGGCTGATCTAAGTCAGGGTATGGCTAACTCACAGATCAAACCCTGAAACGACCTCTGGGCTGATCTAATTTAGGGAACAACTAACAGATTGGATTGAAATTTAGAATGTTAGGTTTTTCGGAGGGAGAAAAGCCCTCGAATCAAGGAAGAAATTAAACATACTCAAATATGTTAGGCCGAATTTTAAAAAAAATTTACTTTTCTTGCTTACCGTTTTTTCCTCGTTTCCTGATTCGTCAGAATCTCTAAACCAATCAGCTTTCTCGAGCCCAGTCTTCTCTGCGTTTTCGTTGACTAGGGCTCTAACAGCCTGGAGGATTTCAAGAGGACTCTTACTATTGGCTTCTTCAATTTCCTTATAGATACAGCCCAGCTTGAAGGTCTTGTGAATCACCAGGGCCTTGATTTCTATCGAGAGACAGGCTCCATGATGGTGGGGTTTGAACGATACATCGGTGAGTTTGAGACAGGCCTTGAATTCTTTAACCAGGGGGATTTTGAAACAGATTGGAGGAGGATTTTGGACTGAAAAGAATTGGGAAAATATCCGTGAGCGGAAAAAGCTTTCTTTGGGGGAAGGGGCGGAGCAAAAATAGACAAACGAAAGAACAGCTGACAGTATTTCTAAAATGGACAAATTGCTTGCTTTCAATCAGCTAATAAGTCTAGACCTTGAAATCTCCTTATCTTTTCCAAATGGTGGTCAAAAACTGATCACCACATGCTTAGCCAATTCTATTGAATGAACATTCCACACGTGACAGGAAATGACGTCAAGTGATATCTAGCAATTGACACCATGCATTGAACCAAATAATCAGTGATCAAGAGAAGGGTTGCTGGGATTGTTACTAGGGACTTGTGTGTTTGCTTACAATGATTATGGCAAGATGGCAAGCATTTTTTCAACCAAAACATCATCATCATCATAATAATAATAATAAACAATAAATACTTAGAATATAGCAAGATGGCAAGCATTTTTTCAACCAAAACATCATCATCATCATCATCATCAATGCTTTATTTAACGAGGGTGGCACATAATAGTATAAAAATCCTAACAAACTTGTGGCCCTCAAAAACTATGCATTAATTACAATATACTATATAAACCGATAAAATCTCTCATATAGAAAAAACAATTAATCCCTTTTTTCACTTTTTATTCTAAAAAGCATTGAGTTTTAGAAATGCGTTTTTTAAGAAATAAAATTATTATTATTAAAGATATAAGAATGAATATAGATACAAAAATAAAATAAACATAATATAAAGATTCAAAATAAACATAAAGGTTTTTCACTGAATGAAGAGAATATTCCAGCAGAAAAGTTACTAAAATATATTGAGAAACTAATGGAAAACTCACTGAGTTACTTTGATCTGAAGCCATTTGACTTTTTTCGTTTTTTTTTTTAATTAAATATTTTGAACAAAGGGTTTTCTTTATAGTAACTTGACTGAAATAAGGATTTGCATTTCATCATAGATTCAAACATTGTATCAAAAGTGACAACCTGCCTGAGACATGTTGCCGTCACGGCATGCACGGCATGTCCCCATGTTTTGACATTCTTTATACTTTATACATGCACTAATGACGCACCTGATACCTCGGTCTTGAAGATGGTTTTACCATCCCACGTGATGCTGATCTCTATACCCTGTTGAGTGATCATGAGTAGACGAGACTTTACTTAAATAATCATAGTTAATAGAGGGGAATGGTTATAAAACTTATTGTTATATGTCTTTGTTCACTTTTTTCAAGCGTGACCCTGCACAATCCTTTGTTTTACCATTATTGGCAATGGCTGAGTGAACAGACAAAACTCTTTCTTTTGGCTGCTAGTTCAAAATACTTTATTTATAAGAGATATTTGAATATTCCTTACAATAATCCCATAGACGAAGTTTATGTTTACTTATTTTGCAATTTCGGATGAGCATAAATCAAACATTGTGCACGGTCAAGACTGGTTCAACATCAAAAGCGAACAAAGACCTGATAACAATAGGTTTCATAACCATTCCCCTCTATTAACTATGAAATAATCGATGATGAGAATGTATGTTGGGGTGCGGCCGTACTCCTAGATTCATTCATCTTTATCCATCAGTATCTGAGGACTGATTCACACCTTACAATACATTTTCAACTGACTCGTCCCCAGTCGTCTCTCTCTCTCGCACGCAAAGCATCAAGGAAAGGAAGAGACGACGTCTCCTTTCTTCCTTCCTTCCCTTGATGCTTTGCGTGAGATAGAGAGAGACGACTGGGGACGAGTCCGCATTTTCAATAGCACGCGCAGAATCATCTAGCGACGAAGTAGGTTACATTTTAGTCGGACGTCAATTAAGGCGCTTCTATGACACTCCACAGGCACGTGCCCTGTTTATCGACATGACATGAAAACACTTTAATTGACGTCCTCAAAAACACTAGTTTGAGCTTAAATTAAATAATTGACTTACTATCTTTGACGCGAAGAAAGCAATTTTCACGCAAACTAAAATGGAAATGAAAAATGTGTGAAACCATCGCAAAGAGAGATAGAGAATTGGAGAAAGGTGAAAGTCTCTGTTGCCTTGGGCGTAATGCTTTCTTATTTCAGACCACGTGTCATTCCCTTTAGAATGACTCTTTTAGAAGATATATTAAGAGGAATTTTTTTCAAAAAGCGCCAAAAACTAGACTTTCGTATGAGTTTTGATCCCAATTTTCGTTTTGGGTTAACACTCAAAGATGTTTTGTTGCATTTGTGTTAGAATGTTGCTTTGCCAGGCTTTAAACCTCATTTTCGAATAAAATTTTTGCTTTGGGTTAACACTTTGATTCCACTTTCATCGATCATCTCCACTTCCAAACAAGTTAAACTTTCTGAATAACAAGATTTTAGCCTTGTACAACAGTATTTCTTCGAGAAAATAGTTTTTGGCGCTCACTGCTTGAATACGAAAAGAATTCTCTCTTAATATGGATGCAGCTCAAATCATGGGTTTAAAATGGGGTAAAAGTGACCCCCCCTCCAAAAAAGGGCATGACACGGGCTAAACTTTCTACTTTCCATCACAATTAAGCATCTCTTACAATTATTTAGCGCATTTTTGAAAAAGTTTGGTTTTAGCGTTTATGATACGCGCACCCCTACATTTTAATATGAAGTGAAATATGATACAATCAGAGGACGACATATATATATGTATATATTATTTTGTGCCTATACCTTCATCATCGACATGAAGTTTTTTAATCTTGATCTTTGTGCAGCGAGAAAAATCATCGACGTTCGTCATGTCGCTTTTATCTTTTGACAAAACCATACGCGAAAAAATCAAAGGCTTAAGTTTCACATTTAGAATTCCACACACACACACACAAAACACAGTATGAACCAAGAAATAGTTACGGGTTGGCTAATTTTTTTCTAACCTTTTGTTGCAGCATTAAGTTGCAAAGTCGTGGCAAGGACGAAGAGAAGAAGAATCAATAGCTTTGCCATGTTGTTCACGCGCCTTTTGAGCTTTGCCACCAAAACTGATTTCGCTCGTGTAGAGGAATTCCAAAGAGCTTGCGAGTCGCGAAATGATGTTTTTTTTCAAAGAGGCCTTTATATGTGAAAACTTTAAAAACTGAAACTAGAAATCGATCTCGTTTTCGTCAGGTTATTTTTTTCTCTTTAAAATGTATCGGTTTCTCATCTTTACCGCGGTGGACCCTCACCCTGAATATCATCTTCTAGTCCATCCACGTCACCGAGTGGTCAAGAAACTGAAAGTTTTGTCAGGAATCAAAACTACATTTTCTTTTGCTCGATTATTTAGAATTATTTGGCTAATTTAGAGGGTTATCTAGCTAGTGTCGCGCTAAATATTTATACATTTTCTCTCGGTTATTCTGGCTAATGCTGAGGGTAATCCAAAGTTGCCGCTTAGCAATAATAACACCAAGAAATACAACCGATAAAAAGTGAAATCAGAACTTAAAGCAAAAGTCATGGACCTGCCGAGCTGTTGTTTTTCCTGACTTGTAGCCAAATGCTATTTCCGTCACACAGGGTGGAACACAACACCAACATATATATTCATATATATGTATATTTTTCCAAAAACAGCAGAAAATGAGCTAGAAAAAGAAACTCGAATAAAGATGTGACAGATGCTTCGAAAGCGAAGAAAGCGAAATAATTCTACATCACGCGGATGACATTATGCCAGTCTTGAGCTTTTTAGATATATAAATTCTTGCATGAATCAGTAACTCGAGAATATTGAAACTTCAAAGCTCACGATGGCAAGGCTTCTTGGAATACTGGCTTTTCTTTGCATACTTGGAAAACTCGCTGCTCTTGGTGGTAAGTATATTCAGAAGAAGTTCAGAAAATCTTTAGGCGCTATTTACGGCCCGTAATAATCGTTAGTTTCTTCCATGTATATAGTTTTAACGACTGAGCCAATCCATGCAGCCAGCATTCACAAAATTTCCTTGGAAAGAATCTGAATAAAGAGAAAACGCCTACAGTCGTTTTCATTACAGTTTGAAATCAGTCGGGCTGAAGTTTTTTTTGGATTGAAAAAAAAAAAAAGAAGTAAATAAACGAATTAACAAGAATTAGTTTCATTAGTATCTATAAAGTAATCACAGTAATGATAAAAGGGTAAATTATACACCGTGAAAAGATGAAAAAACTTACTGACGTTTTGGACGCTAGTCCTTCGTCGGAGTAAAAGAGGAAGGACTAGCGTCCATTAGAAACACCGACGCAGCTCACACTAGTTTTTAGCTAGTTTTAAAAATCAACCACACCCTAAATCCATTGTTTGATGTAGGTTCTTAAATTCGGCGGAAAACCCAGATTCTTAAAGCCGGCGGCGGAATTGATATCAACAGGGGAGAACCGGGCTGAATTATAAACCCGGGATAGGTTTTTAATTACACGGATATATCGTAAGCACTCTATTTACAAGAGCAACAGTATTTATAAGCAACAGTAACCTACCTCTCTGAATTCAATATAATTTAGTATTTCGTGAATTTAGGACTTAGATGATATTTTAAACCAAGCGGCCCTCGGTCTTGAATTCTAATGCAATTCGCCCTAGCGTTTGAACCTTTATATCTCCTCTTAGTATCTAAACGCTAATTTTGCGGAGGGAGGGGGAAAATCGTCGAAGCACAGAAGGGAACTAACAAGCAACTCTACTGACATATGATTGTGAGTCTGGGGGTCGAGCCCATGATCAACGAGGAGGTTCAAACGTGTATATTGAAGTGATATTTTTACCAAATACTAACTTCAGTCCTTTTACCAGAAAGCTTTTCAAACGTTTTTTCCCCAGACTGTTTTTAGTCTTTCATGGTTAAGTCGGCAGTTGAGTTTTATTGGATTTATGGTTGCAGATGAAAACAGTCCAAAGGTAGTGGTCTTCGGTGAGGGCGACTTTGAAGTGAAGTCTGATGAGGGAGCCCGAGACAGCCTCGTGTGGCAAGCAACAAAAGGCCAAAAGCCCGTTGCATTAAGGATTGAAGACCGCAAGTGCCAGTGCTCTGGAACGTCTTGCAATTGCTGCGCTAAAATCAATCTCGTGATTTCTACAATGAGTGGTATGTTATGCCATTTTTGAAATCTCCTTTTTGCTGGATGTATTGTATTCTTGGTGTTGCAGGAAGTATTGTATTCTTGGTCAGGTTTCTTGGTGTTGCAGGATGTATTGTATTCTTGGTCAGGCTTGTTGGTGTTACAGGATGTATTGTATTCTTGGTCAGGTTTGTTGGTGTTACAGGATGTATTGTATTCTTGGTCAGGTTTGTTGGTGTT